TAATACAATATAAATTATTATAATTTGGAAAATTATTGATTTGCACTTTTTTAATATTGATAATATTAAGAAATCACCAAATTTAGACTTTTATTAATATTTGTAAAGGATATTGTGAAGACTTGAGTAATACCTTCTAAAGTAGTAAATAAATACTCCTTTACAGTAATATTATTTATAGCAATAACATTAAATATTAACCACAAACCTTTGCAAAACTAAAATATATATAAAACAAAACAAAATTTAGAACAGTAGTATAAACATTTGCATTTAAATTTTTTTATATATATTTTAAGTAATGTCCTGTTAATAAAAATTTAAGCATTAATTTATCTCAAAGCAGTTTTACAGATAGTTGACAGAGGTCTGCACTCACCAAATCAGCAACCTTTGCCAAATCAATCATGCTGTTGATGTCATTGTTGCACTCAATGAAGGTCAAGCGGCGTTTCTTTCCTACAAACATTTGCAAAAAAAATTAACTCACATTATATCTTATTTAAAAAATTAGTCAGAACGCTTTGAAAGCAAAATAACTATCAGTTATACTCTTACAAAAAAGTGACACAGTATAGAGTATGTTACTAGCATGTTTAAATTAGACGTGTAACAGATCACGTTGATCCATACAGATCACAATCCACAGTTCGGAACGCACGTGACCCACAGATCGATAACTTTTTTGAACTTGAAGGTTAGTCTAACATTTATAAAAATTACAGAGACATCGCCTCCTGCATCATTCAGATCACATGTATGAAAGCATTTTGGCTTTCCTGTAAAATATAATGATTACAGAAAAAGTTGTGGTGGGACCTAAATGCTTTCTTAGGTTATTAATTAAAGGTGTTTTCTGTCACTGTTTGTTTAGCTTGCATTAATCTATTCAGTGTAAAGCTGCACAATTAAACATTAAAAGATTGTGACCTCAATTCAAACCCGCACAACATGAATAATAAATTATAATAATTTGCACGTTTATTAATCCTTCAAAGCGCTGCATTTAAATCTGTGTTTGATCAAGAAAGATTCAGTTTTTTTAAGTCAGTGACAAACGATTAAATAACAGAGAAGTGCAGGAACAACAGTTTATATTTCTTATGTAAACACTGATGTTTATGGTAAAGATTAAAATCACTGTTTAATAAAACTTGACCCTGGTGAATGTTGTAGCAATTACATGGTGTAACTAACAGTAGGCGACAAACAACCATCAAAATTACGTCACTGAGTATTTTTTCCAAAATGATCCACCAATGAAACATGAAGTTTTATCTGTGAATTGTTGAGTCATTAATTGAAAATAAATATGATATGTTGTACAAGATGCTGAATTTCTATATTTAGCCTCATCTGCAAGAGCAGCAAAGATAATTTTTCGTATTAAATATTTTCCTTTTTTTCAGCTGGCTCTGGTCCGATCAGTGACTCAAAACCATAGTTTGATCCGGACCGTGAGATTTGTGATCCGTTACACCACTAGTTTAAATGAGAACAATTAATCATAACCTTGCATAATGTATTAGAAAACTGACCAGATACTATAGTCACAGGTCCACAGATGTCAGAAAGCTTCTGGCGTGTGAAGTTTTTGATCAAGCATCGAATCAGAGTGCTTTTGCCCACTTTAGGAGGTCCCATCACCACTATAACAACAGGCGGAGGCTCCAGAGGCGTCCGGTCAACAAGGGGAATGTGATGTTTCTTTGTTTTAATATCCTGTGCCCTACAAAACAACATTAAGAGCCATTAAAATGAATGAAAAATCATTCTCCTTTAGTGATAAAAGTAAAAGCTATGCACTTATTGACATAGAAATCTGCTGATACACTGGATAAAGAAAAAAACTGTGGAACTTTAAAGATGTCTGAACACTAACCGATGGAAGGTTTTTGCCATGCGCACAGCTGACTGGACACTAAACGCTCGTGGGTTCCTCTTGCGCTCATCCTGCTCTGGTTCGGTGCCCTGCTCCTTCTTTCTGTTCTTCTTCTGGGCTTTGGGTCCGCTGTGCTTGTGCTGGTGGCGCTTCTGCTCTTTCCTCTCCATCTTCTCCATCTTTGCTCTTGTGTGGAGAATAAGACAGATTGTCTGCAATGAGCTTTGACTTCACAGATGCAGATGTTTCATGTTTAGCAATTGACTGGGCTCAATTCTCATTCATTTTAATAGAAAAATCTAACTAAAGAAGCAAGGTTGTTACATGTTTTTCACTGCACATTAACATGTAACGTCTGACGTCAAAACGTATTGACCATTCAGCATCAGTATAATATTAACTTACTTTGTAAGCATTCACCAATAACAGTTGTTGACAATTATAAACTGTCTAAAACAGAATAAACTGCACATTGCTTAATCTTTCTACCGTCAAACTGTCTAGCAATTACAAAGAAACCTTCATAAACAACGGAACTTGAAATTACATATTGTTTATAATCATTATGAGAAATTTTACATGAGAATGACATCTACACATATCCGTTTGTCTTTTAATCTTAACTTTAATGCAACTGCTGTGCGTTTTTAGGACAGAAAATGCAGGCTCACCTTTTGCGGTTACAGTTTATTTAAATCCGGCGCATTTATGATCTCAGAGTTGTAGGTGTTTATTCATGTTTTTAAATCACAGGCACACAACGTGACTCTCTCCACTGTTTACACGTGTGCAGCACTTCCGGTTAGCGGTGGAAGTGGTTGCGTTCGGCACAGGCTGTCGTGTCGAACAGGATCTTCACATGAAGATCCGTATTACACGTTCCGCTTGTAGAGGATTATGTCACTTTTAAACACAGTGGATGTTGATAATATGGTGACGGTAAAACTGGACGATAAAGCAACTTGTTAAGCAACATAAACGCAATAATAAGTTCGTTTTTTTTGTGCCTGCATTTTCTGAGAGAAAACGGACTCTCTTCTGTTGTCAGTCTAATCAGTAAACAGGAAGACGTGTAACACCAAATATATACATTGTCATACATATATATATGATAAATTGTGACCTAAAGTTTGTTAAAGTTAAGTAGACTTAAAGTTTCGCTTTGTTAAACATAATACAACGAAGGTTCATTAATAATTTGGAAAAGATTGAAAATTGTTAACTGTTTTGCTTTAGGATAGTAGCCTATTGTTTCATACAACTGATGAATTTATGTACTATATACTCAAACTATATACTCAAGAAGTTACTGAAAAGAAATTCACAGGGATTTACAGGAGAGGAGTCATTATGTATGGTCCCAAAAGAACTGTGTAACCATTACTTAATGAAAATAAAACAGGTGATTCTGTTCGGCTTGAAACTTCAGCTTGAAAAATACAGCGCTCTCTTGGGGCCTCTACAGTCAAAAAATACTCTTTTGTTAAAAATCTCAGGGTCATTTTTGACTCAGATCTGAAGTTTGTTAAGCAAATTAACTCTGTGTATTTAAACGTATGTATTTAAAGCTTTACATGGACTTGCCCCGGCCTATATATCTGAACTCTTAAGTTTATATCTTCCCCAAAGATCTCTCAGGTTCCCTGCTCAGCTCCTAATTGTTCCAAAATCCTTGAAAACAAAAGGAACACATTACCGAGCATCATCTACATCAATTTATAGAAGTTTTTATAATATAATAACACAATAGTTTACATCCTGTATATATGTTAACATCTCTGTGTTAATATTTATGATACTGATACTGACTAAAACATGCACCAAAACTCTAGCAAACAATACAGCAATTATACAGCGCCATCAAAAAAAATAAATAAATAAATCTCAGCCAGACTAATTGAATAAGAAACTAAATAAAATGACATGTAAAAAGGAAAGAGAGAAAAAAAATGGTCACACTTTACAATAAGGTTCATTAGTTAATGTTAAGTAATGTATTTACTAACATGAACAAACAATGAACAATACATCTACTACTGTATTTGTTCATGCTAGTTAATGTTAATGAAAATACAGTTGTTCATTGTTAGTTCATGTTAACTCATGGTGCATTAACTAATGTTAACAAGCATGGACTTAGATGTTAATAATGCATTAGTAAATGTTCAATTATGATTAATAAATGCTGTACATGCGTTGTTCATGATTAGTTCATGTTAGTAAATGCATTAACTAATGAACCTTATTGTACAGGGTTAACAAAAAAATATTACCAAAAAAGATATTAAAGAGACATTATTTACCACATGTAAGGAAGGGGCCCCATATTTTGTCATACATCTTCTATTTGCCAAGTCTAGAGAAACATAACCTTTCCAGCATGAGGGCAGGAACCATTTCAGCTAACCATTAAAAAAGTTTTATAGGTGTCGTGGATTTTCACTCCATCAGAATTTCTTTATTGGCCAGCACCATGCCAAACATAGTTGATGTTTAGGCCAAGTTAGAGCCTGGTCTGGACATCCAAACAATGCTAATTTCATCTCAATTTTCATTAAGTGTTTTTTAAAAAAAAATCTGCCAAAACCTACTTCTTCTCTCTAGTTTATGGATAATTTAGTTTTTTTGTTTGTTTGTTTTTAGGACCCATTGACTATACCAATTTTTAAAATTTTTAGTTTTTTCATTTTACTGTAGCATATATTGTACTGTCTTGCTAACTGTTTTTACTGTTGCCATGTTTGTGAAGCACTTTGTTTAACATTTATGTTGTTTTAATGTTGTTTTAAGTTGACCTATTGATATACTAACCATTTTATCTTAGTTTCTTAAGTTTAGCATTTAAAAACACACTCTATAAATTTTTTTGAGCAATTGGTTTTGTGAATAGTAAAAGGTTTTTCGTGAGATTATCAAATATTGATGTTGGTAAGAAGTCACCCTTTAGGCTATGTCAGGGATGTAATATGTTCAGGCATGTTAGGGGCATTCACTGAAGGGAACCCACTCTGCAGTTCATATTGACTGTCAACGAATGATTCATCTAATTTCTTTTTGATAATAAAATATATAAAAGTAGAAAAATAAAAAGGCAAGCAATCCAGAAGACACAAATTCATACATTTTAGCATTTTATTTCAAATAAATATACAATAATTTACAAAGTGACAGTATAGGCTGTGTGAACTGCATTAAATGTAGTAATAAATACCCCAACTGCACCAAAATACCTTAAAAAAAGAGCATAAAGAATAAATAAGCTAGTGCAACCATAGGCTATTCATTACAATCTACATTTGGTATAAATATAAATAAATAAAGTCCATAAATAAAAGTTCAATATGCATATGTGATATTGCTTTGTAACCTGCACTTGCACAATACCATGCGCCCCATATAATACAATTCAAAAATAAAAATGCACCCCCTCAATACTAAAACACTGTTTGTCTCTGTAGGTTATGGATGTTTGCAAGATTGCTAAAGATCCATCTGGCCATTGAAGCTCCACCAGGCTGGCTCCATTTCCCCGAGCACATCCTCCAGACACTGAGAAGACAGATCTGGAAGAGGGGCCACTGGCTGCTCCTCTGTGAGCCTGTCCCATGGGCTGCCACAGCTGGTGTAAGGCACAGATGGAGAGCAGTTCTCCAATCCCATGTCCCAAAATGCAGAATCAGAAGACGCAGGAGATGTTGAAAGTGACTCCATGCTACTAGGGCATCCAACTCTGGTGCTTCCATAAGGGTAAGGAGGTGGTGGATAGAGAAAAAATGGACTCTCATCCTTGTAGGAATTCCCAAAATTCTCTGCTGCTACATCCCATGACTCAGGAGAGATCTGTGTGCTTCCAGCATAGCTCCAGCTGTCTGGTGTTGCTTGCAGATCAGATGGAGAACAAGAGCTGGTTCCCATCAGTCTGGTTTGTCGAGGCTTTACAACAGGTGTGCTGTAGTCGCTTGGAGGAAAGGTAAAGTGCTGTGGAGATGTTTGAGACATCTGGATGTTGAAGGGTGACTCCTGAATGCCTCTCTGTTGAGCGCTGACTCCCACAGAAGCCATGTGAGGAGGTAAGAAAGGGCTAGGAAGAGGAGATTTGTTGTCCAGCTGTGGGGAGCTCTGAATGGCTCTGTTCTTTAGGGTTCTGGCTCTCTTGTTCTGGAACCATACCTGGGAGAAGAAGAAGAATTCAGTTAGGATGTGAATTTATTGGAATATTTACACTAATTGAAGTTTATAAAAACTGTTTTTGTTATCAAAATTGATCTTGACATACCTGAATACGTGATTCTGGCAGGCCAGTGGCTTGAGATAGACTTTCTCTGACACTAATGCCAGGATAAGGGTCCACATTAAAAGCCATTTTGAGAAGTTCCAAGTGTTCTTTGGTGAAGCTGGTTCTCTTCCTGCGGCCTGCAATCTTACTGGCCTGTGAGTTTCCATCTTGAGCTGTAAAAGTAAGCAGATATGTCATTTTTTTTTTCAATGGTAGAATGAAAAATTACTTAAAAATGTGTTTTAAATATTTATAGAAGTAAAATTAGTAAGTTATTCTTACCAATGCAGTCAGTCCACATGTCTTTCATTGAGTATTTTGCAGCTCTCTTGCAGAAAATAAGTAAGTCAAGCTTGTCGCTGCTCCTTGTGCTACTGATGAAGAACTGAGGGTAGCCACTATTTAAACCTGCCCAATTAAGTCCAGAAGGGGCCGTGCTAACACTTGGTCACTTTGAAGTTTGAGTGAGCTCTGTGATCCTTAATGGCCAACTCACACCTTTTTCGGTGCCACACCTTAATTTACACGTCATTCTTCACAAAAACTTGATCAATTTGCAAAACATGGCAAAGCAATTTGTAAGACTGTTAATGGAAACATAACTTATGATGTAAGTGTTACTGCTGAAAGATTTTTAAAAACATGTCAAAACAAGTAGTAAGTATGGAAATTTAATTTATGATATGTGCTACTTCATGATAATACCAAAAATAGTATAGATGAAATATATGAATATATTTGCTCATTATATTTCATTTACACATAATTTAAATCACTTAAATAAATACAATTTAAAAATGCAAAGGTTGATTTAATATTTATTTAATGACAGTGTTTAAATAAAAAACAAGTAATTTATTTTACACAGCAGAATAACAATATTTATGTCAATTTAATATGTTTATTTCATAGAGTACACAGTGTGAGATTTGTAAATGAATCATTGTGGCCATACATTTAGCTTGAAATTAATTTAACTGAATCGAATTCAAACTTGAATTGAATTATATGCTATACAACTGCAGGTTAATTGTGTTTATATATAATATCTTAAACTGTTAAATGCTTTTAGTTACTAGTTAATTAGTCAAAGTTATTAGTAAGTAATAACCTTATTTTTTCCGAATTCCGATTATTATTCCAAAACAATAGTTATTGTGAAAAGCGCTACACAAATAAATAAACTTGACAGTTTGTGATCATATCAAACATAAGTGAATAAGAAATTTTAAAGCAATATTTAAAATATGTAAGTATTCAAAACTTATACTGTTTAATATTCAATATGTATCAATAATGTATGTTTATATTATGTGAATTCTGTGAAGTCATATATATAATTCAATATGCAAAAGCAGTAAAATACAATTAATAATTAATTTTAAAGTTTAATGTAATATAGAATACATAATATTTAATGAATTATATTTAAATACATTATGCATTAACTATTTCAAAGATATGTAAAAGCTAATACTGATGTTTATTTGACTGAATATAATACCTGGAGTTTTACTAAAACATTACTAAATATTTAATATTGACAGGAATATTTCTAATATTTTTTTTATAATCATTGCATAATGTTTTTCCTCTTTCATTTAAAGCAAGCAGTCAGAATTATGAGAAGTGATCTTAAATGTGATAAATAGTGTGGTTGTGTTAGAACAATCTCTCAACCATGAAAAAAACTATATACTTTATATTTTAAAACAAATTAATCAATACAGTTTTACATATACAATAAAGAGGAAGATTAATCTGCCTCCAAATGTCAGCATTTTGTGACAATCAGAAAAGATTTTGACTTCTGTCATAGGTGTCAACTGGTTTGATTAATGAGTTTACACCCCTTTGATTGATATGCCCCAATCAGTCTACACAATAGCTCATGTAGAACTATTTCATACCATTTGACAACTGGAGATATCCCTTTATTAATATGAATAGACCCCTGTCACAGATGCCTATATGCATAGGATTTTTTTCTGTCAATAATAGTAATGTGATTAATTTATAAACTTCTAAGGACATACAATTTATTTTTAAAGAGTGGTATACTCTTGTAAAAAACATTGGATAATCTGATATAGCTAATTTTGTGGCTTACAAATTTATGTTTCTAAACCTTTATGAGAATTTAGGACAAAGCTAAGAGAAATGTTCTCTTTGATACATTTCATGATTGGAAAAACATAAAATTCTAAAACATAGCCTATTTGTGGGATTTTTGTCCCTTCTGGTGACCAAGGCCTGATTTCTCGTATTGGTTAATATTCTTTTTTGGTTTAAAATGCATTTTTTTATTTGAGTAAAAATACATTTGTATGGTATTCATATTAGAAGCAACATGTAAAGGCATTATAAACAGGATATATTTATTAATATATTAATATATTTATCCATTTATTTTGAAAAAGGGTCATCTGCATCTCTTTGAGTCCAGCATTTGTTATAATCTGTCACGTAACCATAAAAAGTCATACCGAAATCGTAGTCATAAAGCAGCATGTTACAATTTAAGGACTTTAGGATAAACTTATGTGTCCTTGTTAATAATTGCTCAGTAAAATTACAATCTACACGCACTTATGAGTTAGCCGGCTATTATTATGCATAATTTTTTGTTATATTATACATGGAAGATGTGTAACAAGGACACTGTAATCATAGCTGTATTATTTAAACCACTCATTAGCAAACAGCCTTTGTTTTCTTAGTGAGGAGAATAAATTGTTAGTAATTTATGGTGTGGAATTAAATGTGGAAAGCCTTAAACAACTGTAATATGCATCTCTGTAACATTATAGCCTAGTTTATTCATATGTTTATTGAAAATTATGATTAACCTGATGTTTGGTTTGTTACATAAATCTGTTAGATAAGGCTATCATGTACGTATATCATCATCATTACAGTAGAACAATTAGTCATACAGTTAAGTGGACATATATTAATATTTAGGAATTAATAACGTTGTAAACGTTATAATAACGGTGTAAGGGAAAGCTAATGATATAGTAGGTCAAGATGGCGTGCCACGATCTAGAGTGAGTCATGGCGTCTCTAGAGTCTACAAAACAGCAGTAATGCATGGCCACTTTTACACACAGACAGACTTAACTATAACTGACCGAAAACTACATGTTGGTTAGTTTAAACAACAAATCCAGCTCACTAATTAACCGAAAGAACTTCGTGTTCAATTTAAAGTACTTGTTTTGGGGTTTTAAACGAAATAAAGACGACCTAATGAGTCTTTCAGGTAATCCATATTCATCCGCTCTGAGTTCCTGCCAGCCTCACGCGGCGAAGGGAGCGGAACCCGGATGAAACATGGCGGCCGTCACTGACCTACCAGTCTAAAGAGAAAGGAGAGGTAAATATCTATAAACAAAGACTGTTAAGCACAGCGGTTTCACAAATAACATAGCGGCATTTAATTCTAGCACGACGGTCACTTTTTTTGAGCGGTGTGAGCTCGCGCTGTATTCTTTGTTTTTAATCGTTTGATTGCATCCAGCGTGGGTGGGGGGCGAGTTGCTTTATATTTGTTGATGTGGATAAATAGCGTGGCATGTTACGGAATGACTTTTGTGGATGGGCTCATGGAGAAAGAAGCGGAGGATAGTCGCTGTGCATCGCAAAATGTTCGGCCATAATTGTCGCGTTGAGTCGATTGACATGGCACTTCCTTTTAGTTAGCTGTGCATTGTGCGTGTCCGCGGTGTACAAAGTTGTTGAATGTCAACTTCATCTAGAAAAACTACTTGGGTCATTCACAGATGATGCTTTGCTTTGTTGTTTCTGCCTTGCTGGGTTTGTGTTTTGTTCTTAAAAAGTTTGTTCGTTGTGCCTCTGTGGAGTGATTGTGATGTAGAGAAATCCTGGTCTAAAGTTTGGCTGGTATGGCAGAATCAGTAAAGACATAATATAACTTACACGTTCATTGATGTACGTTTGAGAGTGTAATCAGGCTGGTAAAGTTTACATGCGAAGTGATGCATGCTTTTTTTACATATTAGTTGTTCTTGCATTCACTTTCTGAATGTACTCAATTTCAAAGCCTTAAAAAATAATAGCATATGAATGCCATGCAATCATCAGCTCCTAAAATAAACTGCTTGGTTTTCCTAGTTTTGAACATGTTGGTGATGCTGGCCACAGTTACATTGATTGGCAGGCAGACTGGTTAATTGGACACAATAGAAGATTTAAAACAATAAAGAATACATTTTATTTAAAATATATCAGTTAGTTGTTATTGAATACTCAGCATAATTACATCATATTTTTAAAATGTATATTTTTATCACTTTCTCAGTAAATATAGGCAATGTATTTTAATGCATTTAAACAAAACAGATATATTTATTAAAATAGTATTTTAGTCACCAAACATATTAAAAAATTGAATGATAATACAATTAAATTCAAGCAAAATATTGCAAAAACTATTTTTTTTGCTTCTCTTGATTCTATTTTTTTTATTTGTATTTAATATTTTTATATAACATAAATTTAGGTGTACTGAATTTTGGAATTGAGGTAAAGTTGGTTTTATATTTGCACATTCTGACTTTTTAAAAGTAATCTTTGCGAAATCTGAATAGAAAAATCATATTAGCAGCAAATGACTATTAAAGTACATCATTGTTTACAGTCAATTAAATAGTGCTGAATTTGTTTTAAAGGCATACTTGCATGTAATTTCAGATCTAATATACCTGGGTAAACAATAAGAGGACAGTTACAATCAGTTACCGTTATTTAGTTAGTTTGTTAGATAAGCTCCAGATTTGGCTTGCTGACTAATCTAATGTATATGCTTAAATATAATACTGCATAACTCCCTATTAAAAATAATAATTTAAAAGAAAGATTTGTGAGGGGTGTACTTATATATGCTGAGCGTGGTATATATGTATAGTTGTCGGTTGTTTGGTTAAAATGTTTTATTCCTAGTTTTTTTTTTCATGTCTGCTTTTATGGAGAATTGATAATCATACTTCAGAGGGATAAACTACAATTAAACTGTGGTAGTTGTGAAGCCATGGGTGGTTTACACCTCTTCTAATGATCACGTTAAATTATGGCCATCTCCACTTTCATATAGTATTGACAACTACGTGTAAAATACACCTGTGACTCATTTCACACACTTTACTTAAAAGCACATTTGCAGTGGGATTAAATAAGTAAAAAGATTTTCGATTTGACTAATTCTTGTAGTATTGTTAAATCACATTTGTTAAATGAAAAAAAACTCTCTCTTTGTGTGTGTGTGTGTGTGTGTGTGTGTGTGTGTGTGTGTGTGTGTGTGTGTGTGTGTGTGTATAATTTTTATTGTAATATATTTTAGATGTATATAATAATATATAATGTTGTGTATATATTTTTGTAATATTATTATTGCATAACATTATTACATTTTACAGGCAACAGTGGTTAAATTACATTAGTCATTTTAAGTTTCTAAATATTATTTATGTAAACAATATTACAGCAGGCAGCACGGTGGCTCAGTGTTGTTGTTTTTTTCACACCAAGAATGTTGCTAGTTCAAGTCCTGGCTAGGCAAGTTAGCATTTCTGTGTGGAGTTTGCATGTTTTCCCCGTGTTCGCGTGGGTTTCCTCCAGGTGCTCTGGTTTCCCCCACAGTCCAAAGACATGCAATGAAATAAAATACATTTACATATTTACATTTACAAATTACAGCAGTTATGTAACCTTACTACATTTGTAACATGACATTGACACTGCATGTTTAATTCAAGTAGCAACTATTCATCATCATATAAATAAAATCAGATATTCCATACACTGGAAATAGGAAGTGCTATATTCTGCGCTAATAAATCTAAATAAATAAAAAAACGAATAAATCTAATGCCTACTGTTTACATTTTATTCAAAATCTGCATACTGTGTGCAGTATACATGTTAAACTCTAGCAGTATGAGATGTGTAGTATGATTGCATGAATTGTTGATTTTAAAAAAATGTTTATTGTTGTTAAAATTCTGTGAAGTAAGTTGTAGAATTTAGCTAGTTTCACAAAAGTAGTATTTTCACAGTTTTGAAATTTGGCACTGATTGCTTTCGGGCTCCTAATTAAATTTTAATACATTTTTAATGCAGTATTTTATAGTAGCATTTTATATAAGCATTCATTACTTAAATGGTTAATTGAATCTTAATTTGACAAGGAGAAACATTTTTGTTTACATGTGGTGTTTTAATCAATGTCTTTTGTCCACCCTTGTCCAGATCAACAACAAAAAACTAAAATTAAAATAATTAGACCCTTGTTAAGAGCCTCTAAATGTTTTTTCCATGTTTTATTTTTGTAGTATTTCTATATGTAACTTTGCTGTTAATGGCTTTGGTGTGTGAAAAAATGTATGTTAGGAATTACAGTTGAATGGTATTGAAATGTTTTTGTTCTGTATTCTTGATGAACTCAAAGAGAAGAAGCATACAAGGAAAGACGTAGCCTGTAATTGTAAGCAAATCCTAGTTATGTAGATTGCTCTTAGAAGTTGATTTTTTTTTTGTAATAACTCCTTTATGGATCCTTTTCTCAAAACTAGTATGGTGCATTTTACGGTCATCTGCATCTTAAATTCTTTAAAGTTTTTAAAATTTAGATTGTTTTTTTTTTTTTTTAATGTATAAACGTTTATATGTGTTTATGTATGTATCATTCATATCATTCAAAACTCTTTTCAAATAAGTCAAATTAATTTTCAGTCAATTTTGAGTTAACTACACTTATTTCATTTAATAAAGTTGACTGTTGGGTTTAACAGTGTAGGTAACTAAGTGTGTTTTTAATAGGGATGGTTATCTTAAATGCTATAAAACATTAACCGCACAGTTGTTTCCCTAATACATTTGTCAAATAACGTTTTGTTTGTTTGTTTGTTTTTCAAAAACTACAGGAGCTTTTATTCTAAAGCATGGAGGTTGACCTGACAACATCAGATGATCCGCCTGAAAACCATGACCAGAGCCAGCATGAGGACTCCTCACTGGACCACACTTTGCCTGTTGAATTGGCGCATCAGCTTCCAGAAACAGCCTCTTGCAATGAGCATTGTGACCAAGATGAAACGGCCCCTGAGGACTCAGCCACTGATAATCTTCAGACAGACGGCAAAGCTTCTGGAAAGACTCCATGTAAGATGCAGCAGGGTGCAATCTTCTCTGGAAAAATACTGAGTTTTTGTTGCTCTGAGTGCAAAGACGACACCACTTACAGCCCTAACGACTTGTTGAAACATTTTCAAGGAGTACACAAGGGGACTCCTCCAACTTATCCTTGTGATTTATGCTTATTTGTCACCAATGAATTCTCATCTCTTCAGCGACATCGCATTGGGCATCGAAACACATTAGTCACGTGTGAGATTTGCAATGATGGGGTGCAGTATTCACTTCTTTTGCTTACCAGGCACTTTACAAGCTGCCACAGCCGTAATGGACAGTTTAGCTGTAAAAAATGTGAGTTCTCCACCCGAGATGCAGGAACCTTTGTTCAGCACATCCATCATCACAATGAACTCAATCACAACGCTCGCAGGGAGTACCTGAGCAAACATCTTACTCTGGCACATGGTGAGGAGATGAACAAGTGGAGACCAAATGAGGACAATTCATCTGGTCTAAAATTGTTGCTTAAAAAGTCTCCTCCAGGTGGAGGGTCCAGAGAATCACAGTGGATGTCAAAATATAACGCTATTCCTGGTGTAGGTCTTTTTGATCATAACGGCAGGTTGATTAATCCTGAAAAAACCTTGGAGGACACCCAGCAGTTTCTTGAAAGAGCCGTCGGGGTTAAAAAAGAGAGTAATAAATGGACAAAATCTCCCCTTAAAAGTGAGCCACAAATATTGCAGCTCATTCCATCAGCAACACAGCAACCAAAGTTACAAGAGCATGAGATTAGTCCTGGAAGTCCAGGACATGGCAATGGACTGACTGTTCTTATGGTAAAAAATAAAATTTCTATTCCACCAAACTGCACCACGCAAGTCATGGGCTTTAAGATGGTAGATGGCAAAAAGCATTTAGTTCTAAAGGTCATACCAACAAAACAAGAGGACTCCACTGAAAGTGAGGTTTTTGAGTCACATATTAGTGAAGATGAAAATAAACCAACCAGCAGTCCTTGCTCTTCATCAATAGCATCTCTTTTAAGTTTAGAGTCTGGAGAATCAAATGAAGCCTCTTTAATAGCGGAGGAGTCACACGAGGTTGAAAACCACATTGGCCACCATTACCCCTTGACAGAAGAGCACAAGGTTTACTTTGAGACCACAAGAAAGTCGGGGCAGGTTAATGAGGATGCTGAAATTGCACATAGTGTTAAAGTACTGTCAACAGCATCAAAAGATCGCTCGCTTTCCCTGTGTCCGAGCCATAGATCGAATGGGAGGTCATCGCCTCCTCCTCACGAGATGTCTTTCCTTTATCCAAGTGAAAAAAGACTCACTGATGATACCCAGACATCAAATTCAGCCACCACACTTTCTGATTTGCTGACGGCTCCAGTGAATGCATCCAAATGCAAGACTACAGCATTAGCTTCTCTAATGGACGAAGAATCCACACTTACTGATGCTGTTTCACATTCAAGGTCTGACTCTGAAATTTCTGTAGATGACAAGCCCACAAATGCTGATATCCTGAAATCTAAACTTCCAACTGCAGATGCAACATTTTCTAAAACGACTCTTATCCAGGAACCTCATTTTAGTTCTAAAGGTGGTGAATCATTTGAGAATAACAATGAACCTACTACAAGTTCTGTGGCTGAAGAAAGGCAAGGTCCTAATTCTGTCAAAGCTAAGACTTCACTATGTGAGGTGACTGACAAAAAGACCTGTGACGCAGAATTAGGAGAGAGCTCTCAGTTTTGTTCAAATGGCTTTTCTAACTCTCAAGCTTCAAACATTGTACTTGAAAATTCCACAGAGGTAATAAATAACAAAGCCACCGAGACAGACTCAAAAAATAAAACTAGTAAAGGTAAAACTGAATATAAAAATCCCAGAGATTCTCTCTCGGAGGTTGAAAACAACTTTCTAAATTCCCCAAGCCAAGAGGTCTTTAGTTTCCATAATTATTCTAAAGATACCTCTGGGAGCTCCCCTGAGTCAATGCAGCCTGAAGAAGACTCACAAGAACTTGAGGAAGAAGAGTGCGAGGAGGATTTTGGTGACTGGAGCTTGACTCTGCCAGCATCACCACCTCTTCCAGCTGAAGAAGATAGCAAGGAAGGACCTAATGAGAGTGATTTGGTCTCTGAAAGTGGAGAGAAAACATTAGAGCGAGTGTCAGATAGTGATATCGAGGTTGATGAGTGCATAGCTACTGTTGATGATTCACTCATTCCTGTGCTTCCAGAAAAAGGAGGAGAAGCGACTAGTTTATCAACAGAAAAGAAACCGGAAGGTCCTGCTGTTGCAAATGAAAATACAGCGCCAAGCTTGAATAATGCAGCTGTTCTGGGTAAGATACTTGAAAAGCACTCAGACGCCATTATCAGCCAGCAACTTGAGAAAGAAAGGATGATGTCTTCAGCTCCAGTACAAGAAACTGTAAGACCCACCAAAACCACACTTCGGATCTTGCAAACACCTGAAGGAAAGCAGCAGATGTTCCTTCAGACTACAGACACTCCATATCCTGTGCCCGTTCAGCTAAAAAGCGGAGCGGGCTTCAAGCTGATAACTAAGGCCTGTTCTCCTAAAATTAATGTGTCCTATGTGAAACCGGGGATTGAAACGGCCTGCAAGACTAAGGGAGTAGCTCTCACATTAAATGGAGGTCGAATTGGCTTGTCTGCTCAAAGTTCAGGTCTTGAAAATAAAGGTGAAGCATCAGTCCAAACAGCACAAAGTGGAAACCGCTACTTTGTCAATGCCTCAGCCCTTAAAGCTTCAATTCTCTTATCAGGTGCTGTCAAGTCCTCATCTGGAGAACCAGCTGCTAATGTGCCACAGACTTGTTATTTAGTTCAGAGACCACTCCCTGTTAGTAGTGAGTCAACTGGTCCAAGTTCTAAGACTGTGCTTGCTACTCGCCCTGTATTGGCCGTGCCTGTGAATTCAGCAGATAAAGGTAGTTCATTACAGGCTGGGAGACAAGCTTACTTGGTTAGATACATTTCTTCAGCTAAGTCAAGAATACTTTTGAACAGTACAGATGGACAAACCCTGAGTCAGGACAGCCAAGTAAATGAGGCTGGCAAAAACCGTGTTTTCCTTAAGGTAGTTAGAGGACCCGATGGCACTAGATTTCTCTCCGCTCCATACAGCACTGCCAAAAAGCCAATATACCTTGCCACAAACTCTTTACAGTCACCCTACTTGTTAATGTCCTCAAATCAGTCTCTTAACAACACGTCTGCAGGTTTCAAAACTTCTACTAATCTCCAAGGTCTCACCCATAAACTCATCCCTGCGTCCCAGCTTCAACATGTTCTGCCCCAATCCAAAATTCAAATCAAAAGGATAAGCAGGGCTGATCATAATGGAGCATTACAGAAGTCACCACTTGTCCCCGGTTCCAACCGTCCACTAAGCCAAAGGAAACGGAGGCGAAGGGCTTCGTTAGAGGAAATGCGAGAGAGCTCAAAAATGAGGAGAGTCTCAAGCAAGTCGTCAGCTGAGAAAGATGCTACCTCAGATTGGGAGCCTGGTGCGAAAGATGTCGTGAGATTGCTGAGGCTCTGTCCCTTTAGTCCACTCCAAGAAATCAAATATCCCCGTCGAAACCAGCCTGTGGTTGTGCTTAACCACCCAGATGCAGACATTCCTGAAGTTGCTAGCATTATGAGATCCGTGAACAAATACAAAGGCGAAGTTCTCAAGGTGGCACTGTCCGAAAGTACAGTTAAAGCCCTCTCCGAGTCTCCAAGTACACTTTCAAAGCAGAATGCTTCCAGTGGCAGTGACACCAAGAAATCCAGGCCAGTAGGAGGCAATGTTCGAGAGAGATTCATTCTGAAACTAAAGTTAAAAAAGACCTCCAGAAATAAGTATGAGGTGGTGAGATCCTCAACTTCAGGTTTAGATCAGCAGAGGAAGTTTTGCTGCTGGTTTTGTGGCAGAGTTTTCAAAAACCAAGAGGACTGGATTGGTCATGGTCAACGCCATCTAATGGAGGCAACGAGAGGCTGGAGCAAGCTGTACTAATGCAACTACAGGCCAAACGCCATCCTTCATTGTAGAAAACAGATTTTTTGTAATCCTTTTTTAATAGTACAGATACAGTTAACTTGTCTTATTTTTCCATAGATTTGTTTTGTTCTCCTGAAGCTTTTAAAGGGTATAGTGTAATAGAGAAGAGTTTGGTACCTGAAAAAATTTTGTATGTATATAATTTTCACCCTTGTATATTTAAATCAGAAACCCTTGAGTATGTATAGAACGGAACTGTGAAAACTGGACACACTGTATGTTTATGGTGCAAGCAGAAAGATCACTGGTATAAAGATGGTGCTGTCTCTTATAGACCTCTTTTAATGCAGACAATTGAATCAATTTCTCAGGTAATTTCACATTCTTTGAATGAGTGAACTGTCCAGTTTATAAAGAGTTGTCTTTTAATTCTGAAGCTTTGTTTGATTGTAGATTTAAACATTATGTATCATTTAAGTACGGTTTAAGTTCGATACATATGTCATACCTACATCACTGGACCATAGTTAAGAGAGTGTAAAAACAATCTTCAAAATGAATGGAAATATCTGCAAATTTAAAGGGATAGTTTGCCTAAAATTGAAACGTGGTCATTTACTCACCCTAAAGTATTAGGAGGTTAAAAATAAAGTAATAAACAACATTCTGAAGAATGTTTCACCAAACATTACCCCTTGACGTTCACTATATGAATACAAAACAGATAATTTTGTAATATATTGTCTCAAGATATCACAATTGGAAGTATGGAATGTGAGAGGAAATGATTAGATATTAAGTTTTAGGTTGGAAATATCCCGTTAATTGTTATTTTTATGAAAATATTGACTAAAAACAATCCCAACTGGTTCCTGTGGAAGCCTTCCTTTTGAGGAAAATTCTCATTTGAGGTGGTTTACTATTAATACAATGTATTTTTTCCCTCATGTTGTTTTTTAGGCTCACCTTTATGTTTCCCTGGTACCACACATCTCCCTTCATTATATCAAATCAGACCCGGTGTCATTTCAGTAGCAATAATAAACTATATGATAGTTGTTTTTCTGTAAAGGATTTCTGATACCTGTTGGTTGTAGTGTTGGTGCTATTTGTTGTTCTTTCCCTTATTTCAAATGAAGAAAAGCACCTCTAAATGTTTTTATTTTTATGGTAAAAACAGGATACATTGAGATGCAAGCCAACAAACCTCAAATAGCCAACCAAACACTAACTGTGTTGTTTCTGTGATACTTGAGTGCCTCATTCTGCCTCAAAGCTTTAATGAGAGTCTGCTTCTTTTCCACGCTAAAGTCCAGATTTGTTAGATTCCTGTGTGCTTAGCAGAGTTCAAAGATTACATTTTGACCATTGATCCTCGCTAGGCTACATTGATTGTTTTCAACCGATTTGTTCATTTTATGAATTTATTTTCTCATTGATAACCCCAATATCAAGCATTTTCTGTTGTATATGAACGGTTAAAAGCATTTGATGCAAGTTTTAATTGGTCAACTTATGTAAACACTGTCCAGAACTGATACAGTGACCATAATGGTGCTTTTAAATTGAGTTGAATTAATCTTCCAACTTCAGACGAACTGCTAAAGTGATTTCCGCAATTGACAGATGTGTTCATTTGTCTTCGTCTACTGTGTTTGAAAGAAGCTTTGATGGCAGAGAGGTAATAATCCATCCTTCATTATTCAGTCGATATATTCCTTTATCATAGCTTAAATCGGAGGCTTTACCTTCTAATGTTTGGTCTGTTCACATTTGTTTCTAACACACGTCGTCAGCTGTTTTTAATATTCACTCAGTTTGTTTGTCATTCTCTTTGTGACATGACAATCACTGTTATACACGTGATGTAGTGGAATTGTTTATGCAAACCATTAACTGTTGACTATATTCGGCTCAAATGGCCTAGCTTGAAACATGTAACGCCGTAAATGAGCAAAAATAATAATGTTTTCACTCAGACATCTGTCAACCAAATGATGTTGTGTCCTGAAGCAAAAATGTCCTTCCTTGTTGTAATGCCCAAGTCACACAGGTTTTATTAGGATCAGAGAGACGAGTTTATTTTTTTATGCAAAGTGCCTAAAATGTGATGCACCAGGTTGACACTATATTGTACTGTATTTACCTCCTTGCAGTTCCTTCTTTAATAAATGTAAATACCTTTGAACAACATGGTTATTTTTATGACTACTTTTATTTGAGAACTTTATTGCCTCACGGGTTGTTTTTTATATTTATGTGACTTTTTAAACAATTATTTTGCAATAAAGCTTTTTTTTAAAAAAAAGCACTCACCACCAGGTGGCAGTGTTGCATTAGGTTAGTAATTTATTATTTGGCTCCATCTAATGCTATTCAGAGGGTGATTTACTAGCACATCGGCACAATATTGAGTTCTTTGGTATTCCATAGTATGATGCAAACTGGTAGAAACTTTTGCAATATTGTTGTAGAGTTGACTGCTTATTTCTTCACCTTGGCAATGGAGTCTATGTTCATATGTTTTATAGTTAGTGTGGTCTTATAGAATTAAGTCACTTCAGTTTCTAAATATAGTAAGTTGTAGATTTGTGACAATTTCAGAGACTTGATGCTAATTTGTGAGCTACTGTTTGTACATTTCATACATTTGTCACCAAATCAAGTGGAGCTTATTTTATAACTCATCCCTTTAACTTTCTCATATTTATTGACAAAGTAAAAAGCAAGTAACTAAAAGTTGTCTATTATTTGGAGTAAGTAAATTGTGGTAATACCCTGAAAGAAAAAGCATGCATGTTGATGTTGAACACTACTTGGTCAGCACGTTGTTTTAAGCAACAAATATTATAATTATTAAATATACTAAATATACTGTGCCCAGCATAATTGAAAACACCCTATCATATTTCTTAGGAATAAATACAGCTTACTTTTCAATAACTTTTATGGGATCATATTTATATTATACAGTTGAAGTCAGAATTATTGGTCCCCTTTGTAACACTATACTGTACCACTCAAAAGCTTTTTTTTTTTTTTTGGTATATAAATAATATAAATTAATACTTTTAATTATCAAGAATGCATTAAATGCATTAAAGTTTGGAGACGAGACTTTAATATTTCAAATTAAATACTAAGAATTTAATAGTCTGAATTGTTTATACAATGTGTAGTGTTTCTGTGACTCCAAAGCACATTATGAGTAGGCTAATCTTCCTGCGCATAAATATATATATATATATATATATATATATATATATATATATATATATATATATATATATATATATATATATATATTTAATTTTTATTTATTTATTTATTTATTTTTTTTGCATGATTACTCGTCACATAATCCTGCGGAAATCATTCTAATATTCTAAATTGCTGCAAAAATGATTAAAAAATTAATATTGAAAATATAGGATATGTTGAAAAGATGTTTAATATGTTGATTAGAATGTTTTCTGCTTTCAAGAAAAATCTTTTGGGACATTACACATACAAGTGAAGTCAGAATTTTTAGCCCCCAATTCTTTTCCCAATTTCTTATTAACGGAGAGAAGATTTCTTCAACACATTTCTAAACATAATAGTTTTAATAACTCATTTCTAATAACTGACTTATTTTATCTTTGCCATGATGACAGTAAATAATATTTGACTATATATTTTTCAGGACACTTCTGTACAGCTTAAAGCGACATTTAAAGGCTTAACTAGGTTAGTTAGGATTGCAGGTTAGGGTAATTAGTTATTGTATAATGATGGTTTGATTTATAGACTATCAAAACAAAAATTTACATTAAAAAGGCTAATAATATTGACCATAAAATGTTTTTTTATTATTAAAAACTGCTTTTATTCTAGGCAAAATAAAACAAAGACTTTCTCCAGAAGAATAAGAAATGATCTAACATACTGTAAAAATGTGCTCTGTAAACATTTGGAAAATATTTAAAAAAGAAAAAAATCAAAGGGGAGCTAATAATTCTGACTTCAACTGTATATTTTTATCATCACTTAATTGTTTTAAATTAATTTTACTAATTAAAAGTATTAATTTCTATAATTTCATTCACACAAAAATAAGCTTTTGTTTGTTATAGTGTAAAAAAATATTTCAGATAAACTCTGATCTTTGGATCGTTCCATTTATCAAACAAATGTAAATGTAATGAACAAATGTAAAGTTATTACAATAATGAATTACATGTTAAAATATATTCAAAACAGTACAATAGTACAAATCTTTTGAAAATGTATTTTTAGGCTTTGGATCAAAGAAATGGAGACTTGGTGAGCAGAATCGACGGATTTAATAAACACAAAAATCTTACTGTAATGAAACTTTTGACTAGCGTATACATTGTGACAGCTAGCCCTCCAGTATAGCCTATATATGTACACACTGGCCTATTTTGTGGATTCAGTAGCCTACAATGTAGTCATCATGCTAAAGCCCTCCCCATCTGGCCCTCAAGTTATTATTCATGCTACATCGCAACTAAAACAAGAGGATCTATATATGTGTAATACAGTTATAACAGGACATGACATGCCAAATGAAAGTATTTATTATCCTATTCAAGATGCCATCCCCTACATGCTCTAATTTACCAGGCCCTGCTTTCACTTTCACCTTCATTTTCATGAAGGCTCTGTCACGATAATGAGGGCAAAAACTCTGGCCGGGCTATGATTTGCCGTGAGTCATTATCCTATGTCATGAAGAGGATATTTGAGACGCTTAAATGGGCCGTTGTATTAGGAGAGACTTACGGCCACGTGGACAGAACACATGACGCAGGCAATTAAATGTGATCACAGATCTGCGACTGACTGATTGACCGGCTTTAGGATGGACAGATTGGTGGGGTGTGCTGCTATTGTAAATGTTCAGGAAAGTCTCACCGAGCAGGAAAGTGAGAGACGGGTCCGCCTGCTTTGACAGGATTTAAATAGGTCAGGCTTGTACCAGAGCTGTCTGCAGTCTGCCTCTGACTTCCTGCCATTGAAGTGGTTCAGGCCGTGGAGTGGCCTGCGGGAACGAGGGATGGCAGCCCATTCCATGAGAAATGAAGCATTAACACACAACGATGAGAAAAGGAGGGGGGAAAAGAGAATAGAGCGCTGTGATTAAGCTATTGTTGAAGATGCCATTTTGTTGCATGGATAAAAAGGAATATTTAAAACTCTTGTGTATTTTTTCAAATTGACTACTCATTTGTTATGTTCATGGCTCTTTTTGCCCCATTGACTTCCATTATTTTGACATTATATACCATTATATTTAGTGTTATGGGCTTAATTGTTGAAGTTATAACACCGAATACTCATGCATTCTTTATTGTTGATTGTTTTCCCTGTTGGGAGGAGGTCAAATCTGTCATTTTAGCTGTTGATCATCAGTTGGCACCATTAACCCCTTCAGATAGGCCTGTGCAAAAAGTTTCTGGCTTTTATATATTGTTCTATGGAGTAAAACAGCAAACTTTAGCGTGCGTGCATAACACAGTTACTATGTTTATGTCCTGAGTGCTGAGGGGCTTATTTTTAAACAATCAAGAATGCATGATTATTTGCTGTCATGGCTTTGCAATCAAAAATGTGATTATAATATAAGTCAATGGGGCAAAAACAACCATGAACATAATGAAAGGGCAGTAAATTTGCCCAGAGTGTATTGTTGAGTTTTTAAAAAACTCCAAAGCATTTTACTAAAATATGTGTCAAAATAAAACTTGTCACCAAAAATCTTTCCATTTGCTGAAACACAGAGAAAGTTGTGGCCAAATTAAGCCTCAAAATCACCCCAGAGAGGATGAAAACATCCCCAACAGCAGACAAAGGGTTCATTTGTGTTTAAACAAATTTACAAGGATTAAATAGTAACCTCAAGTACTAAATGCATGACCTGCCTAATTGGGGTCTGAGAAACACTTATTTACACCCAAAGCCGTTTATATCGCAGTTTATATTTAGCGGTACCATGTTGGTGTTTTATCTAATTTTTACAAGGTGGGTCGTTAGCCCAACGCTCAACCATCTGCATGACCAGGACATACACACATACACTACGGACAATTTATCTTACCCAGTTCACATAGTGCATGTCTTTGGACTTGTGAGTGAAACCGGAGCACCCAGAGAAAACCCACACGAACACGGGGAGAACTTGCAAACTCCACACCAAATTGCCAACTGAAATAAATATGTAAAAATGGTTTTAAACAGTACCGAGTTCTCCATCATGTAATAATTTTCATTTGCAATTTCATTGTCATTTTATAAGGTTCTCTAAAGAAACGTGATTTAAAAGTGCAATATAAAGGGCCTTAAAATATTAGCAAGAAAATTTTCATAAATAGTAGTATTTTCTCTCTGTAGATAATATATCACAGCCTTTGAATTTCACAAATAAGTTTCAGTGCGTTTCTTCCATTTGTTTAGGTACAAATTGTTTTTGAATGCCAAAAGTAAAACTCTTTATAGGCTCATGTTACAACTCAAGTTTTACCATTTTTAAATCTATTCAGCCAACCTCCAGGTCTGGCAAGAATGCTTTTATTAAGCTGGAATAAAAGTTCCTAGACATATCAGCATAGCAAATAGCAACTTCAATTTTTCATCAGTCTTAATACACTATGTCACTATAGAAGACTCAAGCTTTAGATAGGAAATATTATCGCAACTCTTTGGTCATATTTGTGCGAGATGCCAATAGTTTATTCTGATTAAATGGTCTATGCTAAGCTAAGCTAAAAATACTCCCACCAGACCTGGAGATTGGCTTAATGGATTAAAAATGGTAAAACTCAACTTTACAGGAGTTGTCCAATTAAAAAATTTTATGGTATATATTTGACCTTTTTTGTAACTTTTTATACATAAAGCCAAGTAATAAGGAAAAAAACATGTGTTACTTAAAGAAAAGGCATCCTGAACTGAACAGAGCTGATGATATATTTTGTGAATAAAAAAAAAAAACATGATTAATACAAAAAACAAGTCACAACTTTAAAGTTTTACAGACTTGTTTTGGTAATATAATAATGAATTAATATAAATAAGGAATTTACCTGTTGAGAGGGTGCTGAGCCTGTGCAGTTGAGGCTTGAGCTTTAAAAAACTAATGAGCTGCAGGTGCTTCGTCAGTTACAGATTTGAAAACAAAAAGGCGGGAA